CCAACGCACCCACTAAGATGACATGACGAAGCGCAGGGGAAGAAGCCCACCCCGCCAGCCCTGAACCCCCCAAAGGAGGCAGAAGCCGTCCACCACCACAAAAGGCCAGAAGACAACCAAAAACGCCCACTAACTGCGGGACCAAGCGAGAGTAAACAGAGCAAGCTGCTTCCCCAGCACCCCGTCAACAGCGAAAGGAACGGAGCCCCTTCCGAAAGAAAAAGTATATATACAGGTATATATAAACATACACACAAGGTGTATTACACACACGTGCATATGCACATGCACATACACACATGTGCACACATACACATGCACACACACATAAGTGTACACCTGTACATGTACATGTACATATGTCTACACACACATATACATGTGAAAATGTACACACACATATACATGTGAAAATGTACACACACATATACATGTGAAAAGAAAAATACAAGCCGCTGACCAGTGGGCAAAGAGCACCACACTGGCCAGGCGAAGAAGGCACAAAGAAAGCACAAAACTGCATCTAAAGGGCCACCTCAACAACAAAACCCAAAGCCCCGGCACAACCACAACATGTGCCAAGACCCAAAAAGATCAGCCTGCAAGCCAGGAAGACCCCGGAACCCCAGAATCTAGAACCGGGTCACACATGAGGAAACAAAGCCCCGTGAACCCACAAAGGGGGCCCAAGAGGAAGAAACTCCGGAACGAAACCAAAGAACCCAAAGGAACCCGGAATCGAACCCAAGCCCAAACCACCACATTTGCTGGCAGAAATACACCACAGAAAGGCAAAGCACAGCCCCCAGACAGAACCCCCCAGGGAAACGGCCAAAACAAACCAAAAACCGAGGGACAAGGTGTGGGAGCAAGTATAAACAGACAGGGACACTGAGCCCAAACCCTAGGGCAAAGACCCAAAACAGACAGATAACGCCCCGGGGCATTCGAGTGGGAAACCAACCCAGCGCATTGCAGCAACCTAACCTAGCTTGCAACACGGATGCTACCTGTACTCTGAACAGTAATAACATCAGGAGAGTACTGGAGAACAAGCAGAGAATACCTCTCACAAGACTCCAGGTCAAGGTGTCAGTGACCCAATAGGCAACATGACGGAGGTGAAAGTGGCGACTCTCACCTGGAGACAAGGGCACAGCAACCAACAAACCCGCACAAGATGGGTTGGAACCCGGAAGACACATTCAATAGTCCACCAAGCCCCGACAGGGTTTTCCAGGGCCGTAGGGTAACAACTACGGGACGCCAGGGATAAGTGTTGCTAACCGGTTAAAACCCAAAACTAACAAGGGGTAGAGGACAACACTGAAAACCTCTGCGACGTGTATAATCACAGGGGCCTAGCAGAGGGCCACCAAACACTACCAGTGGAACTATAGCCACACTAGGCAGACCCCCCCACCAGGCAAATGAAAATAAAAACAAAAGAAAAACCCAGCAAAAGTACACTGTTCCCAGAGGCAACAGGAACCAGTCACTGCTTAGGTGGCAGGTCGCGCAGCACCTTGACTCCCTAACCAGCACAATACCAGTCCCTACCCAAGGCCAAACAAGGGCCCCAAGCCCCAGCTGGCCCCAAGGGCGAGGCAAATGCCGAGCAGCAAGAACCTCTACAGGTATGGTTCCCGAACGCCCCAGGAAAACTAACCCTGTCACGCAGGGGCAGTACTCACAGGAAGCTTAGGGAAGGAAGCCCCTAAGCGCATGCAGCCCCGGTACTGACAAGGAACACCTGGCCACCGCACAACACAGCACATAGCAGTGAACGCCACGAAAGGCAAACACCGCCTAGGAAACTGAGGCCAGAGAAGCGTCTGTTCCGGTTGACATTAGCTTACAAACTGATGCTAGGAAGCCAGCACGGTGAGGTCCAGGGCGGGGAGGGCTGTGCAGACGATATTCGCAGCAGTAAAGTGTGATGTTTGCTTGTTTGCTTGTTTCCTTGGGATTGTAGGGAGTTTCTACCTCTCTGTTCGGTTTTCTGTTTTAGTTTTTTACCATGTGGGGTTTGTTTTGTTATGCCTACCTTTCTGGGTGCCTAACCCCCGGTCGATGGCAGAATGGCAGATAAGGAAAACCCCAATCACAAGAGGGTTTTCCAGGGCCAGTACTGCCTGAAACCTCTCTGAAGGGGCCAAGTTCTGGCGCTGGTCCCTGGTAGGTCTGAACTCCTTAGCTAATGTACCGGTCTAATATAACATACATTAGCCCGATAAGCTCCAGGGAGCCGTAGGGGCTCCCTGCAGAAAAGCGACGAAAACTTAAAAGTCAGGGCCCAAGCACCACCTGACAACACGCGAGACGAGAAATGGAAAACAGCGACACCACATCCCGCAGGATCGGTGCAAACAGAGCTAACAGCGCAGACAATGCACACGCCACCGAGACCAAGGCACCAGACCCAGGAACGGCCCCAAGTGCTTCCACAACCTCCTCAATCCAATCCGAAGACAGCTCCAGGAGGGAAAAGAACCGCAAGACCAAAGCCAGCAGGCCACGAGCGTACAAGGTCTCAGCCACCAGTGCAGCCGAATTCAGAATAGAGGCAGAATCCAGGTCTCGCAGGAGGTAAGCCGCAATAGCTTCCTGTACCTCATGAGGTGGAATGTGGGAAGCCGAAAACCTCCGAAAGAGCAGAACTGATGGACGCCCAGGGACACAGAACTGAACCCAGGAAGGGGCCGACACCAAATCCAACTCGTACGCGGAGGGGGGGGAAAAAAAAAGACCCCACAGGTTGCAACAGTAAGCTCCACTCGGAGGGTAGAAAAACTCAGCCGGGGTCCATAGGGGCCCAAGGCCTCCAAGTCAGCCCCTCCCCAACCATGGGAACCTCCACACCAGGACCTGGGGTCCTGGTGTGGAGGACAACTCCTGGTCCAGGAGTTGTCCTCCAAAGCCCCGTCCTCAAAAGAAAAAGTCGGGGCAGCTGGAAAGGCAGGAAGGAAAGGAGACCCACTGGTCAGACCCAGACACCATGGATGGAGGAACCGACTCGAATGCCTCCGTCGCCATCCCGGAGGAGGCATCCCCCAACACTGCCCGAGTCTCAAAACCAGTCAAACCCTGCCCCGACCCCGAAACCCTCAGATGCTTCGGAGCCGTAAGCAGAGTGGAGGGGAGGAGCAGAATGCACCAGAGCAGGGTGCATTCTGGGTGTGCGAGGGGGGTGCGGATTGAACCAAGGCTGATGCGACCAACACCCCCAAGTTCAGGGCCCTATAAGCAAAATCAGGCAGCCTCGGGGCTTCTGGGTCAGCAAACAACCTAGCGTGTCGCAGCAACCTAAGCCAAGCAAGCAATGCCTGAGCTGCCTGCACCCATAGAGTCATCAGTGGACTGGGTGAACAGTCACTAACAAGCAACAAAACTTGCAGGACTCTGGGTCGAAGGTGTCACTGAACCAACAGGCAGAATGACGGAGGAAAAAACAGTTAGTCACTTTGAGATGGGAGGGGACAGAGCAACCCTCGAACTCGCACAAGACGAGAGGGGACCCAGGGGTCGCATCCATCGAACCCCTTGCGCCCCCACAGGGTTTCCCAGGACCCTTAGACTGGTATCGCTAAGGGAAGCCCGGGCAGGGCACTAGGAACTGGCGCCAAAGTCTACCAACCAAACTTCTAAAAGCTGAACCCCTGGGATGTGCCCACTTACGGGGGCCTAGCAGGCAATACCATCAAAAACCACAGATATGTATATAACCCTAAATATAGATGGGGGTAACTAAAAGCAGGACCCCCCCCCCAACCAGACAGGGAAAACAAAAGAAAAACCCCGCAAGATGACAACATTCCCAGATGGAACAGAGCCGGCCGCTATGAGAGGAGATAACTAAACCTTCCTAAACACACACAAGGGTGCAAAAAACACCCCAGCACACTAAAGGTGGTCGATCACCGAGCAGCAAACTACCAAGCAGAGGTAGATCCCAAGGTGACTTGTGGAAGGTGGTCCCAAGCCCCAAGGGCAGTACTTACAGGGCACCTAGGGAAGGTGACCCTAGGCACATGCAGCCTGAGTACTTGTGAGATTACTCCTGGTTCGCACACCACCAGAGAAGACTTGCACTACACCACAAGGGACAGAGCAAAAGACAGAGGTCAGGAGCCAGACACACATGACTTCAGCCATTCACATCAGCTGAAGAACTGCAGGGTGGATCGTCGGCGCAAGGGTCTGTGGCTCCCCCTTCCTCCTCCCGGGAACGGGGGGTTGAGCAGACAAGTGGCACGGCGACATGGTGACGTCATGCTCATTTGCTCATTTTCATTTGGAGAGTGGCGAGTGGCTCTGGCCACTCGCCAGACGAAAGTCAAACGAGTGGCCCTGACCACTCGTTTAGCTTTCAGCAGTAGTTTCAACCAGAATAGGGGTTTGTTTTGGGATGCTTACCTTCCTGAGTGCCTGACCCGGTCAATGGCAGACACAGAATGCTCCATAACCACATATGCATTTCTATAGGCCATTGCTCCTCATGCTTCTCTGAGGGGGCCAGGTTCTGGCTCGTGGTCCTCGGTAGGCCTGGAACTCCATTCACATTAACTGATGCCAAAGTCTAATATATACATATCAGCCTGGATAGCTCCAGGGAGCTGAAGAGGCTCCCTCCCCCCAGAAAGGTGAATTATAGGAAATAATTAAAATAGGTCAAGGACATAATATAATATATAACTGAGAAATGCATGAGGGAATGCGTGCAAACATAAAAATAGTTTTGCTTATCAACTGACAAAATAATTTCACACTCGCCCTGCACTTCACTTGTGATTTTCTCTAGCTTCACAACTTAGCCAGAGAGGATTGACTGGGCACTAATCCTTAACTGTTCACTCAATCACCCAACAAAAATTGGATATCTGGATGTTAATTGATCAGCAGGCAGTGTTCCAGGGAAAACAAGTAGGACAAGTACTAGCATAGTAATCACACACAAAATATTTGTTGTGTTAAATTTGTATATATACTATATACCCTACCCGATTCAGGCTTGATCGTGGTACAGGTTGTGGTGGGGGTTTATCCTGTTCTTGGAAAACAACACTATGAGGTAAGGTTGCAGGAAGGCTCTCTCTCTGAGGAGCATGGTCTTCCAGTGGTGATAAAGCAGCAGGAGAAGATGTTGATGACGTGTTAGCTGATCCTCCAGTACTACCCCCACTGCTCATCTTGACAACGACAGCAGGAGGGATCTCATCCTCATTAATAGAACGGCCTGCCTTCACAGACTTCTGCATTTGATACAATGTTTTCAAGCCACGACTGAATCTACAAAATAAAGTAGCACAGTATAATATTCAGCATACAGAATTAAGCCTTTACATCAAGATAGCTATAGATTTACCAAGAAATATGCCTAAACAAAAAACCAGCATTGAATGTAGTGAAACACCATTTTCTGGGTAGAGCCCTGGAGGCTCCCTGGAGGTAATGGACTGATATTAGCCAATATTAATATGGAGCTTCAGTCATATGGAGTTGTCATGCCTATCGGGGACCACTAGCCAGAACATGGTTCCCTCACAGAGAAGCAGGAAGCAATGTCCTATGAAACTCTCTACTATGAAAGTTTTCATGTTTGCCACTGACTGCGGCTAGATACCCAGAAAGGTAGGCACCACAAAACAGACCCCAACTGGTAGGAAAACTGCAACTGGAGACAGAACAAAGGCTAGAATCATCCATGAGCACAATCAAGAAAACAAACAATACGTCAACACACCGCGTGGCGCTTGTTCGTGCCAACCTGGGAATGAGCCCTGGAATAGGAAACAAGGGATACCGGGTCAACCCACAGCACGTCTCCGGACACAAGCTGAGGCGTGCAGGTAATGGTGTAAAGCCGCAACCAGACAACAAATGATGCACCCCCGACCTGACCAACCAAACATCATTAACCCACGGACCCCTCCGGAAGCCTGCAGTCTCATTCTTCGCCAGAAAAGGAGGAGACGGCTGCAAATGAACAAAACGTCCACCAGGAACATAAGCGCAAAAGCCTCTGTGCCAGAGGAGAGCACAAAGCTCCCTGACCCGACCTCCAGAAGCCAAAGCCAACAAAAACAAAGCCTTTTGGAAACAATCACTAACCGAAGGGGCCACCACAAACTGAGGGGAAAAGAGAGCACCCCATCCACAGAACAGGTCGTCGTAGGCAGCGCATGAGCAGGCAGGAAGTGGAGAAATGAATGAGAAAGCTTACGAAACGGAGCAGAAGTGACATCCACCCCAAACACAAGCAACCCGTTCTTGCACTTTCGTACAGTCAATATTGACTTATTAAATAAGTGCATATGTGACATACTAATTTATTGTGAATATTTTAGTTTACCTTGAAAAGCTTCATAGAAAACACCAACCTTACCTAACCGTCTTAGATAAGCATCTTATTGCTTCGTAATTACAATTATTACTTAACCTATTATAGGTATAGGTTAAGTAATAATTGTAATTACGAAGCAATAAGATGCTTATAGGTATAGGTATAGGTTAACCTATTATAGGTATAGGTTAAGTAATAATTGTAAATACGAAGCAATAAGATGCTTATCTAAGACGGTTAGGTAAGGTCAGTGTTTTCTATGAAGCTTTTCAAGGTAAACTAAAATATTCACAATAAATTAGTATGTCACATATGCACTTATTTAATAAGTCAATATTGACTGTACGAAAGTGCAAGAACGGGTTGACACAAGCTACAGCGGCTTCGCCAGTGCCGCACGATATGAGGTGTCAGTATTCAGCATAAGATGCCTGTCCTGAAAAAGCCCAAAAAGAAAATTCAACACAATACGAACCGGAACCGAGGAAAACTACACAGGGAAAGGAAGTGGCAAAAAAGACTGCTAAGAGATTTCATACAGTCACTGAGAAGAAGACCTCAGGTGAAACACATGCACCTGGACAGCCTTTAGGCACCTGGGCCTCCTTGTAAATATGGCCAAATGTAACACAAACAAGGAACAACGGTGTCAAACTCAACGAGGGAGACTTGCCGCACATTAGCACCAGTAGAGAAGCAAGCTGGTCACCATACAGATGGTGACACACCCACGTCAGAAACTCAAGACGCTAAGTAAGAAAGAGTAGAGTGCAAAGTAAGAAAGAGCCATGGAAAACGTCCCAGGTTTGGGCACTGACAAAGCAGCACCTGAAACCAAGGCTGGGCTGGCCACTATGGGGCCAGAAGGAAAACCCTTCCCCAATAGCACTTGAGCTGAGCCAGAACCCAAAGCAACAGCTGAACCAGGGGAAGAGGTACAGGTAACCCCACCTCGAACAGTACTGTCGAAAAGCGTCTACCACCATGGCCTTGTAGTTGGGGAAGGGCGCCACAAAGACTGGGAGACACCTTTGCCTTTGACCACACCAACGCGAAGAGGTCTACCTCTGGGGCCCGTACGTCTGGCAAAACCAACTGAAGGAGTTGGTATCTACCGTCCATTCCGTGGACGGCCGACGTGGTCAATGTGGAATGAACCACGACAAGCCATCTGTCAGGATATTGGACACGCCCCTGATGTGAACCGCACGATGAACCGGAGAGCTAAACCCTGAGAACTCAGCAGAAGAGACACTCGAAGCGACCAGTCCCAAAGAACCAAGGACCACAGCAACCCCCACAGTTCAGGCAATGAACCACTGGACCCAGATTGTAGAGCCTCGAGAGAGCCAAATCCGACGCAACACAAGCCATACCACCGCGAACTTCCGTACCGTGCTGTAAGCCCGATGAAAGGACGGAGCCCACTACCCCTGGCCAGCCTGGTGAGCATAAGTCAGAAAGCCCCAGCCCAGAGAGGAGGCATCCGTGAACACATCGAGCGAGGGGCTCAGGGAGGCATCAAAACACTGAACCCCGAAATGCCCAAAGAGGAAGCCAGAGACACAGCAACCGATGCAAGGGCCCCCAGGGGATGAACCAAGTGATTGCGAGAGCAGCGGAAGGGACAGCCCCGAAGGAACCAGTACAGATGCCGCAGCCAAACCGACTCGGTGAGTAAATGATCACGACGAAGTTCAAACTTCCTCACAGCTGCTCGAGCATCTGCCAGGTGACCCGGGACCCCCGCGACCCCCTCAGAAACCACCGATGGCAGGACTGAGTGTAGTTACAGGATGAGAGATACACTCGTGGTGTCCCGTCTTCCCAGCACTCTTTGTCATAACAATGTTGTCGTATAAACAATGTTGGTGATTGACAAATTCCTTGTGCTTTTCAAAGAATGTGTTGCCTTCAAGCAGTATATTCCCTCCAAACGCAACAGATTTGGATTGAAATTCTATGTTCTCTGTGACTGTGAAATAGGAATTGTGTTACACATGATTCTGTATTCTGCTAGCAATGTAGACATTCCCAATAATGACCATCATGGTTTCTCAGGTAGTGTGGTGAAGACACTGATGGCACCATGGCTGAGGTTGGGCCACATTTTATACACAGATAACCATTATATAAGTCCCTTGCTAACTAGGTTCTTGCTTGAAAATAGAACTGGAGTGTGTGGCACAGTAAAGCCAAGAAGAAGGAAAATGCCAGTGTTTGACAATAATATTGAAGTTGCCAGCTAAGAAAAAGTGATCAAATACTGTCAGTGCTGTGAAAAGACGAGAGAGAGAAGTGAACATGTTGACAACCGTTCATGATGGTACAATGGTGAACAATGGCAAGGTGAACAGAACAACAGAACAACCAATATATAAACCAGACTGTATTCTGAACTATAATATCAACATGTGTTTGGTTGATAAATGTGACATGATGGTGGGTATTGTCGAGTGTGTACGGAAACATTGAAGTGGATGAAAAAGTTTTTTCCATCTTGTTGACGTAACCATGCTGAACAGCTTCAATATGTACTGTACCTGGTGAAAACATGACGTAAACCAACTTCTTGTTCTTTTAGTTTTACAGTTGTGACACAGTTACTAACAAAGTTTGGCAAAGAAATTCTTGGCATTCAAAGACCTATTCAGAACACAGTATTGCAACATGCTCTGACACCCAGGCTCACTTACACTGAGGCCTTTCAAGTACACAGACTAGAACATTTGCCACCATCTAGAAAGCGTGCAATAGGCTATCGTGAGTGCATAATTTGTAACACCACACATTGGTGACCCAGTGAGTGAAAAGAACACCTAATCACAAACTAGATCTTTGTCATGGATTTATCTACCAGGTTTCCAGCATACAACGCAGATGAACCAGAATTTTGGTTCATGCAGATGGAGGCTATTTTCGACCACCATGAAATTACGTCTGAGAACCCTGCCAACTCTTCCCTCAGAGGCTATGCACACTGCCTCCACTGTCATCACCGCACCATCACCAGACATCAGGACGTACACCACATTGAAGGCAGCAATGAAACGCCGCATTCAACAAAGGGAACAACTCCTCACTGACAAAAGATTATCAGACAAAACACCAGCCCAGCTTCTGCAGCATATTCAATATGTAATGCATACTGCAACTGGCCCGGCCCCCAGCGAGATTGTGAGATCACTCTGGATACAACTCTGTCCAAAACATATTCAACCGGCCCTATTCAGCATGGTTGACGACACCCCATTAACCCAGCTGGCTACACTGGTAGACCAGCTTCTTACGATGTCTGATAACGCTATGCTGTCCCACCTCAGTAATACTCAGTAGACTACATACACCCAACAACTCGACATCCTCCAGAACCGGCGTTTCTTCCGCCCAGGGAGGATGTACCACGCGAATCCAGTATCAGGATCTAGGCGACAGCGAGAACACCGAGGAGAGCTTTGTTCTTACTACCAGAGGTTCGGACACCAAGCCCACAACTATAGGGCTCCTTGTTCCTGGTCAGGAAACTACTACGGCGGGGACTGTTAACGGCCAGTAACCCCGCCATTTCAAACACTACACTGCTCTACATATCTGACATCATAACCAAACGCCGTTTCCTCATTGACACAGGTGCAGCAGCTAGTGTGTTGCCTCCCCCACTGGTCAAACTGACCCGCACTCCAGGTTTGGACTTATGGGTCGCCAATGGTACGTCCATCCGAACATATGGGACCCGCGCCCTGGTTCTCAATTTTGCCTCTCTGGGTCGCTTTATGTGAACTTTCCTCATAGCGAATGTGGAACAACCCATTCTTGGATGGGATTTCCTGCAACACCATCGATTTATTGTGGATCCCGCACGTGCAGTACTTCGAGCCTCCCATAGTACCTCTACACAGGTTAACAGCGTCACCCCAGTCGCATCTACGGAACTTCAAGCACTCCTGGATGAATTCAAAGATGTGGCCCAACCCGCCAGCCCTCGACCAAAAGTGCAACATACGATTACGCATCACATTACTACAACGGGAGCACCTACCTTCGCCAGATCATGCCGCCTCGCACCGGAACGATTGCCGGCAGCACGCGCTGAATTCAACAAGCTACAGGAGGCAGGAATAATCCGCCTATCGAACAGTCCATGGGCTTCACCTCTCCATATGGTCCCGAAGACAGCCCCAAGGAATTGGCGCCCTTGCGGGAACTACAGGGTTCTCAACGTTCGTACTCTGCCGGATCGCTACCCAATACCACACATCCAGGATTTCTCACAGGGATTGAGCAATGCAACCGTTTTTTTCGAAAACTGACCTTGTGCGGGCATTTCACCAGATCCCTGTGGAACCGGCAGACATTTCAAAAACAGCGATCACAACACCTTTTGGACTGTTTGAATTCGTCTGATGCCTTTTGGTCTATGGAATGCAGCCCAGACACTCCAACGCTTCATCGACCAAGTAGTTAAGGACCTTCCTTTTTGCTACGCCTACATTGACGATCTGCTGGTGGCCAGTACATCACCGACAGAACATCTGCTACACCTCTGACTCCTCCTCACCCGTCTGCGCAGCTTCGGCTTGCAGCTCAACTCCGAGAAGTGTATTTTCCATGTTCCTGAGCTGGATTTCTTGGGACACCGTGTGTCAGCAGCAGAGGTCCAACCACTAGAGAAGAAAATTGAGGCAAATCAAGGAATTCCCACGTCCATCCACTCCAGAGAAGTTGCAAGAATTTCTTGGTGTGGTGAATTTTTATAGATTCATCCCACATTGTTCGGACATCTTGCGACATTTATACGACCTCTTACATGGTCGGAAACACACGTTCCGTCTTCCATTAGAGTGGACTCCCCAGGCAGAGACAGCATTCACCGACATAAAACACAAGCTGGCGGAATTCACCTTACTCGCACACTCAGTGTCTGACGCTCCCACCAATCTCTCTACTGACACTTCAAACACAGCTATTGGTGCTGTACTACAACAGCTCATTGAAGGAGAATTACGCCCAATTGCATTCTTTTCAGCGCACCTATCACCCACTGAAGAGAAGTACAGCACTTTTGATAGGGAACTGCTCGCCATCTACGCAGCCATACAACATTTCCGGCACTTCCTCGAGGGGTGGAATTTCCACATCCTCACAGACCACAAACCCCTCGCTTATGCACTGGCGGCCAAGGGTGATGCTCACTCTCCTCGAGTAGTCAACCACCTGGGATTTATCTCCCAATTTACCTCGGATATCCGCCATGTCAAGGAACTCATAATGTCATAGCCGATGCACTGTCTCGACCCACCACAAACCACGTGGTGAAAAACCCAGCTCAGGTGGACTATTGTGTAATCAGCTGCCAAAGCCGGTTGTAACCCTGTATATTATCCGGGCAAACTGGCCCTTGTGAGGTGAGCAACCTCGGAGGCCCAGAGGAGGGCTGCCCTACCGAACCAAGGTATCACCTAGTAGGAACCCTGGCAGCCCCCAACGAGCAATAAAGAAAACTAAAAGTAGGAAAGAGAACCCAGAGGAAGCACCACAACCCAGGAGACTAGAATGAGTCACGGCTGCTGCGATTATGTAAGCAATGCAGCCCAGTGCGCCCCAACTAGCAACAACACCCCCTTACCCAGGGCCAAATGAAAGTACAGAGACCTACGCTGACCCAAAGGGCAAAGCAGACGTTAAGCAACCGCTACTTCTGTGGGAATAGGAACTTGAAAGACCCAGAAAAGAGAACTCTGAAATCCAGGGGTGTACTCACAGGGCACTTAGTGAAGGGAGCCCCTAAGTGCATGCAGCCCTTGGTATCAACTCCTGGCCACTGCACCAACACACAACAGGAACACCGACAGGGTGAAAAGCCTGTCAGGCAACCGAGATCAGAGTAGATGTCCACCCCATTTAGCTTCATTCGACAAAATACCAATTACTGGTCCGGCGGCCGGCTCAGTGGGTCGAGGCACTCGGGGAGTTTCATAGGCCATTGCTCCCTGCTTCTCTCTGAGGGGACCATGTTCTGACTAGTGGTCCCCTGTAGGTATGACAACTCCATATGACTGAAGCCCCTTACTAATATTAACTAATATCAGTCCAATAGCTCCTGGGAGCCGACGGGGCTCTCCACAGAAAATTAAGGGAATGCCATCAAGCACATCCAAAGGTGTAATGGATTTATTACAAATTCAAACAGTAAAAATGTGTATAAATGGTTATCATTATGACAAGCACAAAAGAATCATGTGAAACAAACCTTCGAACTCTTGAAGTGTCTCCAATTGCCTTAGCATTTGCCTCTGCCTGTTCATACATAGAAATTCTTTCAGCCAGCAAAGCAAGAATATTACTTCCACCAGCCATAGGTGCCTGCCTGGGAGCCATGGGTTCAGGATTACGATAATCATTTAAAGGAGGTGGGCGATTTGGAAGAGTTGGAGCTGGTCTTGTAGGAGCTACAGGAGCTGGTTGAGCACTTCCATCATCGTCATCATCTGATGGACCAAGAGCAGATAATTCTGCCTGGAAATTTAGAATAAAGAGATAAGTATGTTCAAAGAAATATCCAGCATTAAAAAATACATTACTACTAAAAATTAGGCTTTGAATATAGTTTAGAAAAGCTGGGACAAGAGCCTAATAACATTTTACCCTGGATAAGTTGAAATTTATTCAAACTATTCATAGTGTGGCATACTGGTGCTATAGATATAGAGGAAAATATTCAATACAGTCCAAAATGTAAGAAAATGTGCATCATATAAAACTGAAAAGTTGTCAAGTACTACATTTATATCACAAGGACTTTACATGTGAAAATCAGCAAAGAGCCTGGAAGGTGTTCATATAACAATGAGGGATGTTGCGCTGCATGAGAAAAGCAGAGAATGTAAAAGAATTGGAACACCTTAAGCAGTCAATATAACACAGCTCACAAAACACTCCAATATTCCATGGGACCACCATTAGTGTCTAGACAGAAGGAAACTGATAAACCATTTACCACTTGTTCCATTCAAGATGCCACATGTCAAATGCAAAAGAACAAAAATCAAGGACTGAAGCCACATAAATTTTGCTTTAAGTTAAATAAGGATATAAATAGATCCACAAAACACCAAACATTTTACATATGCAAGAGAAAGGTAGTCTTGTCCAGCATCAATTCAATCCAACCTACCCTCCTGCTTAGAGAGTATTTTTTGTAACTACTGTATGTGGACCATCATATATATATATATTGATGTAATGAACAATTAGATAATAGAATTTGGTACTGTTCACTTTATAGTCCGGAAAAAATAAATCTAAAAGCCAAACTTAAATATTCCTAGAACAGCACATCTACATGTACTATATTAGTAGACATCCATCAGTCTCAGGAGACTATGGAGTTGCACTCTGGTTGTCTATCTGGAGTGGCCTCTCCAGGGACCAAAGCCAGGGTAGGTTGATATGGGGGGAGAAGCTGTCACTCATGCAGCAGGTTTCCCCCCTCTCTATGGCGCTGACAGTCTCCAATGGAAAGGCAAACACCCATACAATTGATTCTTGCGCCATCGCAGGAACTGTCAGAACGATGTTGAAGGCAACAATGAACTGCCCTAGGGGCTCCAGCTCTGGAGTTTACCTCAAAGTTGGTAAAAGAAGGCACAAGGACTCCAAATCTGCCATGGTCGGGGCCAGAGAAGAACCACCCCAGCAAGAACAAGAACAGGTTGCAACAACAACCCCAGCCTCATGAAGCAGAGCTTAGGCCAAACAAGCCCCAGGAGATGGACGCCCGAGCCCCGCACCTACGGGTTCCAGACAGATTATCACAGCCCCCTTTCACCCGAAGCCGGCTTCCTTCATGACCCAGCAGAAGGAAGAGTAATAATTATTAATTACAACAATTATCATTATAATAATTATTATAATAATAATATCATGTACTATATTAGCCCAAACTTTAGCTACAGCTGAATAAAATTCAAGTTAATAAGAAGGCTCAAATAATTATCTCCTCCAAACATGGACAACTACACACACCTAGATTTTAAACAGTACTGTTCAAAATTCTTTGCTGGGGGACACTGCACAAGAGTGAGCTTGAGAATTCTTTAGGGGAAAAAATTAGTTTAAGGGCCCAGGAGCACAAAAAAAATTTCCAACTATGAAAAATAGTGCAACATATTAAACAAATCTCACATTATTTGGCATCAGCATCATAAAAATTTTATCCCAATATGTTAAGAAATGGACTTCATACAAATTTTTTTAATACTAAATTCGTGCATGGTGGGTACTGATGATAACGATACCACCTCCTATTTACTGGAACTCGGGATAATGCAGGGATAAAGAGATGCAAGCACCTGTCTGATGCACAAAGAGGAGTAGTAGTAAAAAGGGTCCACCAAGTGGATATGCAGCTGGTTCCTGCTAGCATTGCTGAGTGCCACCTAGAGGTCCAAATTTCACACACAATAATGAGTATTTTGTTGTATTTTATTATATATCATATAAAGACATTGCTCAATGCCAATACTATTTTTTAAGTCCCTTTGTATGAGCAGCTATCAACTAATTTAAATTTGTTGGAGTATTTTTTTCTCCTTTGTTTCTCAGTTGATTTTGTTGTGGCTTCTACATCTTGGAGAATGCATAACCTGTTACTAAGGATATGAAGTTGGAATGAAATTGGTCAACATGTGAATCAGTCACAGGTGGCAGAACTTCTGACTTAATTTTTTGGGGCAGAGTTATTTACAGATGTCAAACTTTATTTTCTTTGTCTCTTTAGGCTGTTTAGCTGAATGGGGACCAGATGAAGGGCTTTATCACTTATATAAAGTATATATAAGTATACTTTATATAAGTGATAAAGCCCTTCATTGCCACATTGGTGGTGTGGAAAAGATGGATCTGCAGTATGGGCAACAGTCGGTTCTCCATAACTACTGCCCAGGCCTGTGGCTTGGAGAGGACACTCCAGCCTCGCTTTGGAGACAGCTCAAGGACTTCACAGCTACAGTAGAGGTTGCACCCAACCAGACACCCAGGGCACAACTCCATAACCCCACAGGATTAACAGATGCTTACCACTTATATATCGCTAACCCATAATCCCTATCCCCATGCTTGGGGGGGGGGGGAATTTTTGTACAAGGTATGTCATAAATTTGAAATACTATATATTCATTGTCGAGAACTTTAACTTAATTTTTCTGTATGAACATGATTTTCAACTTTCAACAAGTGGGGTCATAGAGTTCTTAGTGATTTATGGCTTGGGAACCAATCAAGCTTTCTTTCACATTCCAAAACAGACAGCAACAGTCTGAAACTAAAAGCTTTATTTATGAACTCAATAGATCAGCTTGCTGGAATAACTAATGATACAGTTTACAGTAATTTGAAATTTGTTATCTATTCCAGCAAAATAAGTTTAAACTATGGTATTAGTTCCATACAAAACTTAAACTACTTAAGTACTCCATCAAGAATTATGTTTATTAAAGCAAACTTGACTTCTTAACTATGCTAAATATATTTCCAATGTAGTTAATTTTCACACTGCTTTGCCATACCAACAACTCTGGATCATCTTCATCACTAAGATCCTGATCATCAAGGTCTTCTCGCATGCAATCGGCAACCATTTTGGCTAGTTGATCTGGAGACACTACAGGCTTGCCTGAGGATTACCAAGTCATAGTTATAGAAATTAAGTACTGTACTGTACTATTAATAATACTCATTCCACCAATTTAACATCTACAGTATTGCAAATTTGTACATTTCCTTTACTAATTGCAAGAAACACTGACAAGACAATAATTAATAGTATTTAATACAGAATTCAAAATGAATTTGGTAACTATTAAAAAGAACTTGGTAAGAACAATTAATAATTTTACAGTACATACTTCAATTAAAGTATTTGAAACATCATGTTTGCTTTCAATTATTAAAGTGTAATTATGAGAGTAGGAGCAAGATAACGTACAACTTTCACTTGGGCAAATTAAGCACTGTTGGGCCTAACCGGAGGCTGAATGGGAGACCAGAGAGTACCTCACCCATAGATAAGGGTTACCTCTATAGGGTATGGTTTGATTCCCATTGTCAGGGATCAGAACCCGTTAGGCCTATGGACATTCCCCCAGCTAAGAGCTGTCCTTGATGTCACTGAACCAATTACTGGACAAACCCAACAGTATTTTACCAACTGGCTGATGCATATATCATCCACTACACCATACCATACCCAAAAGTTAAAATTTACCTGCAACATTTTAATAAATTAAACATATATCATGACATATTGCACTTAGAAATTCTCCAGACCTTTGTAAGGTTGTTTACGCCCTCCTCCGCCCCCAGTAAGAGCAAGAAGCTCTGCTTCTAGGTCTGCATCGTTTTCATTATTGAAGTCCTCTATACCTGGTACATCCATTAGTCCAAGCTGTCCATAAAAACATGAGCATTAATATATGAAAGAGAGAAAGGTATTTATAGCCCTAAGAAATTTTACCACAATCAACCAAAACTATACAGGCCTACTATAATAACCTCACATCCAACAAAATAAGCTAAAATTTCCATAATAGGCCATCTAGAATCTAGAACTGAAGTGATTTAACTGGTAGGAGCAATTTGTCCCAATTATCAGTAAAGTGAAAACACCCTTGGCCTATACTGCCCTAGGCTGTAATCTTGCAACTATATTACTTCCCATAAATATTAAATAATGATTTAAATAATTTATCTATACGTATAAGAAACTGTATAAATTAAATAGTTCAACAAAGGGTCGGGCATTTTTTTGTTACCAACGTTCGCTGCCCTCCCCCTCCCCCACACGCCAGCAGGTGATTCACGTCACTTCAGCGCTCACCAGCATCATTCCCTCTCATCTCACCTGCGCCAGGCCTCCCCCTCGCCTTGGCCGCCTCTCCTTATCATCCTTCCGTCCAGAAAACATGCTGTTGCATCTCTAAGAAAAAAATCTGGAGGAACGATCCGCGTCAGGCTCCTGTCTGAGGTTTGTTTACTATGGCTCAGCTGGAGTCAGATGAGCCGCGGTGGCCGCAGTCTCTTCCTGCGGGCGTGCTGGTCCTCACACGCCTCCACGCCCGCTGTCTTCCACGCCCCACTCACGCCTCAAGCGGTAGGTAGACTTTCCTTGTCTATTAAGTGAACGCGTGGGGAATCCTGGGTGAGTTTTGGTGGGTGGGAGCGTGAGTTTGGTGGTTGTGACGTCATGTTTATATCTGAGGGGGTCAGTGGGGTGTTGACGCTCATGTGACTTACTTTTCTAACAGTACTCACCTAAGTATAAACGAGACCTTCAGCTCATGGGCTAAGCTATCTCCAACTGCTCAACATCTAATGCAATGCTTCCCGACCCCATTGTTGCCTATTACAACTCTATTTCTCCTAATTCATTCCACCTCCTTATACAGTGTTCTGGCTTTTCAGTGGAAACCTATTTCCTATATAGTATACCCATGGCTAATTTGTCTAGCTTCTGTGCATGCCCTTTCATTATACTGCTGCTCAATCTAAACATCATATCCTGCTGAGTATTTTATATGTCTGGATCATGTCCCCCTCTATTTATCCTTAGTCTTCTGCAATATCATGTAGTCTAGTTCCTTCAGTCTATCTGCATAACTCAATCCCCTGAATTCTTGGGGCAAAACTTGTAAAGCAAACGTCTGTACATTCACAATCAACTTCGTTTTATGTCTTTTGAGGTAAGGGGGGGGGGCTTACCTTGAGGTTACCTTGAGGTGCTTCCGGGGCTTAGCGTCCCCGCGGCCCGGTCGTCGACCAGACAGGCCTCTTGGTTGCTGGACTGATCAACCAGGCTATTGGACGCGGTTGCTCGCAGCCTGACGTACGAGTCTCAGCCTGGTTGATCAGGTATAGTCACAGCCTGGTTGATCAGGTATAGTCACAGCCTGGTTGATCAGGTATAGTCACAGCCTGGTTGATCAGGTATAGTCACAGTCTGGTTGATCAGGTATAGTCACAGCCTGGTTGATCAGGTATAGTCACAGCCTGGTTAATCAGGTATAGTCACAGCCTGGTTGATCAGGTATAGTCACAGCCTGGTTGATCAGGTATAGTCACAGCCTGGTTGATCAGGTATAGTCACAGCCTGGTTGATTGGTATAGTCACAGCCTGGTTGATCAGGTATAGTCACAGCCTGGTTGATCAGGTATACGTGGTTGATCAGGGCTACGTGACGGTACTGCATACTCTTGCACTGGTCGAACATGTGCTGCAATTAGCGGTCTTGAACATCACAGTGTCAATGTTCCCGAAGGTTGTCCTGATGTTTATCAGCTTAGCCCGTAGCAGTGCTTAGCACAGTCGCTTTAAAGCTGAAAAGTCCCGGGGTCAGTTGCCATTGCAGGAGTTAAGTGTTTCAACATCGTTTCCTTTCACCTGATGCCTCAATTTACCGATCAGTAAATAAGTAGCTGGAAGTTAGTCAACTGCTGCTGGTTGCATCCTGGCAAAGTCAGTATATATGTAACAACGTATATAGATGGCCTAGGGAAGGGGTGGGGAACCTTTCGTCATAGGAAAATCAAATTTTGCTTTACGATTTCATAAGGCCACATATTGAATTATGTGCTATATACATTTAAATGTAAAAAACAGACTTATAGATGAAGTTTTATTCATTTAAATTGCCTTCAAAAGCCGCTCTGAGTTCCATAAAAGACCTTCAGTTCCCCCACCCCCTGGCCTATGGGGACCTTGATAAGGCAAAACAGATTTCCTGTCCCCATCTGTGAGAAACCATTTATTGTGTTCCACTGAAGGTGTTACGTCTACTCTGAGATCCTGTTCTTTCATTGACCCTGCTGGTAGGTTCATGACGTATTGTTTCTCTAGCCTTATAAACATGCTCAAAACATTAAGAAAGATCCAAAGTATTTTTACCTGAATTTACCTGAGGGCCACTGACACTTTAGTGGTCTTGACGAGGACAGGAAGCCCTTCCCTAGGCTTCTCATCCCTATATAAGTTGATATATATATATATATATATATATATATATATATATATATATATATATATATATATATATATATATATATATATATATATATATATATATATATATTATACCTATGTAAGAAGTAAACCAAGACGAAATACTCTGTAGGACCCTTAGAGGAGACCAAACAGGATATAACTGACGATAAAAAAAGCAGCCAACATTCTGAATGAATACTTTACGTCAGTGTTCACATTAGACAAATTAGATATTTCCCAATATTCACACAAATGTCTGAAGCAGGTGAAGGGAATGAATTAAGGGATATTTCCATAATGTGCGAAAGAAACAGGAAAAACATTGACAAATTATAGGAATTAAAAGCCTCGTGTGGATGGAATTAAATCCAAAATCGTAAAGGAACTATATATAGCCGATGAACTGTGACGCTCCTTTTCAGAAAATCTTCAAGGCAGAAAGAGTTCTGAAAAAAACTACGAACAATCAGCCTAACCGCACATACCTGCAAGCTTATGAAGTGAATCTTAAAGGAAATATTAATTTACCATTTTACAGTGCATATTCTAGTAAAATCAAAGCAACATGATTTTCTTACAAATAAATTCTGCCTTATTAACCTGCTTACATTTTCGGAAACTGTAACCAGCTGTTCAAAGAACTTTGAGTAGACGTTGTATACATAGACTTCTCTAAAGCTTTTGATAAGGAACCACCTGACAGACTGGCAAGGAAATTACAAGCACATATGTAAAGCAATAGCATATGTAAGCAATAGTAAAGTACCAGAAAAAATAATTAAAACAAAGAAAGCAATGGGTCGTCCTGAATGGAAATTAATCTAACTGGAAAAATGTGGCGAGTGGGGTACCACAATCTTGGGACCAACCCTTTTTGTCATTTACATGAGAATATAGAAAACCATATCGTCAAATTTTCGGATGACGTTAAGATCTATGGTAAACTAGGAAGCGGAAATTATATTGAGGCCTTAAATAGAGCTACATGAACGCTACAAATTGCCAGACTAGCGATTGCTTTTTATATTGAAAAAATGCAAGACTTTGCATGTAGAACATAATGTACAACACAACTAGCAAATCAAAACACTACCATGCAGCAGAGTGATGAAGAAGAGGACATAAGAGTGAGGATCCACCAGTCATTGAGAGTCGCACAACAAGCGAGAAAAGCAGAAAAAGCTCCAACCAAACCCTAGGAATAGTCAAACGAACCCATGACTTCAAGAAAAAGAGTGGTTATTCAACTGTAAAAGTCGCCGGTGCACTTCCATTTGGACTACTGTATCCAAGTATGGAGACCCTACCTTCAAAAGGACTTACCAGTTTTGGAGAGTTCAACACAGACCGACAAAAATGATCCCAGAACCAAATCGACTCCCATACTCGAAACACTTGACAAGGGGTTAGGACTAACAACACTGCAAACCAGACATCAAAGAGCTGATATCGAGACTTAAAAACTGGACAAGATGGAGGATATTAATCCTAACTACTTAAAAAAAATCAAATGTAACACAGACAAGGGACAACAGCTTCCAGCTCAACAAGCCACTGTGTAGGACAGGAAGCGAGATACTTTTTCACCCGTATAGTTATAAACTTATGGAACCGCATACCCCCTGAAGCCGTATCTCCCAAGACATTACGTCAATTCAAAATTAAACTGGAAAAATCTTCAGGCACAGTCAGGTGGGGGGACCTGTGGCAAGCCGCCGGCTTACTGACCCCGTCGAGGCCACTAGAGAGATGGTAGCCCTCAGGTAAATTGTCCCCAGCCTCATTGGATTGTTGCCCAGTAATGTAATTATCAGGAGAAAGCGCTGAGCCAGTATATGGCCATGTATACTTGAAGTCCACTGTAACTATCTCACTGTTGTGGATCACCTGGTTATCTCAAGATAACTATCTTATCTAAGATAACTATCTTGTGGTTATCTCAAGATAACCACCTGTTGCATGAGATCGTAACTCATTCATGTGGCCGGTCTGTGGTCTGACACACTGGATGTGGTCATAACTCGCTCCTGTGGCTCACTTCTCAATGTTTAAAGTAATGTGATCATAACTTCCCCTGTGACTCACCTATTACAATGTTGACAATATTGTGGTGATAACTCAACCTTATGGCCCGCCTGTGATACTCTGTTAACACTGATGTGATCATAAATCTCCTCTGTAGCTGGCTTGTCACAGTTGATGCGGCTATCAGAACGTTTTCAACAGATTTCGTCCTTACGTCACTTGTACCTGTATGAGTGATTAAGAATTGTTTAATTATCGATAATGTATATTTCTGTATTGCCACGATGAGCCGCTGAAGGAGGAAGCTGGCGGCTCTAGGGGTCTCTTGTTGTTTCATTTAGCTTAGAACACAGCTCCTTCAAAAATCTGGTGGCACTTTTACCCCAGGCGTCTTCGAGGCAATGTGGACAAAATTGTAGAGGTGATCTAGTCTTGTGTTTGCAGGACTTGGCTGCTTCCCTTTGAATGACAGCACCTGGATGTGCAACACTGAAATTAACGTAGGTGCTAGCCAAGGTTGAAACACGCGTGTAGTTCCACATCGACTGTCTACTGTTCTTCCAGAGGTTCATTGTGATCCCGTCTGGTCGTCCAACTAACTTGTCAGAGTTGCGGGGCATTAGGTAACGTGGCTCTCTCTCTGCTGGACAACCAGCCGTGGTAAGGCTGGTTGTAAGGCTTCCCAATAGCCTTATAAAAATATTAACTCTCACTAGGATTAAACCTCAAAACAGTTGCCTAACTCCCGGGTTCCTATTTATGGCTAGGTGAAAGGAAAAGTGCCCAACTCTTTCTGTCCCGCCCGGGAATCGAACCAAGGACCCCTATTTGGGAGTCGAGAACGATGCCGCTGTACTACGAGACCCTATTCCGTAAATAAGGGTATTTCAGAGGGACCAAGTTTTGAGGGGAAATTAAGTTGGGATTGGTGGAAAGAGGCGAAGATAAATAATTATAACGATAAAGCGCTAATTAAACCATCACGGCTAAATATCACTTACATATAAGGGCATGCGAACGGAGTGAATGAACATTGGCCAACCACTTCGGTCTTAGACCATCGGGCATCGAAGGACGACCCTGCAAGA